TTGGTCCACACCTCCGAGTCGACCAGCAGACCGTGGATGAAGACGATCGTCGGCTTGGACGGGTCGTAGGCGGGCGCCGACGCGGGCAGACACATTCGTACGGAGAACTTGTGCAGGGTTAGGGTTAAGGTCGAGAACGGCGAGCGGGTGAGTGTGAGGTTGATTGGAAGGGCGACGCGGGTGCAGAGGCGCGGAAAGTCAAGCAGAGCGGGCGACGAGAGAATGGACGTGTTGGTGCAGCGAAGGGCGGCGGGCTGGATGCGACTGGCGCTGCTGAACATTGGGGGCGATGGGGAGGGTGGAGCTGAGTTTGGACCGGGGTTAAATAGAAAAACCACACTGGAGGGAGGCGGAGACAGAGGGAGTGGAGCAGACACGGAGACAGAGAGCGGAAAGAGCGGAAAGAGCGGAAAGGGAAACGGAAAAAGCGGAAAGAAGTCACAGCGACCACCACGAACGAACAACGTGTTCCGGGTTGGTTGGGAAGGAATAAAAGGTGTCATTTTTGGACAGCATTTTGGACAGAGGCTTCCGACAGGCCCCTCTCGGAAAGTGCCTTTTATTTGTCCATTTTTGGACATGTCCAAAAATCAACACTGCTGGATTCCTTTCGTTGAGATTGTGAGAATGAAATGAATAACTGGTTGTGATCTGTTCTCCCGTTTTGGCAACTTCGATCTGTCACACCAATGCAGTAAAGCCGCTGCTTGCGTGCTTTACCTACCCATAACCATTTCTTTCGTCTGTTTGTCGAAGTGACACCATCACTCTGTCTATTCGTCGCATTGGAATTTTGTCGTCAGTTTCTTGTTTCAAAGAGTGCGTCGATTGAGTGGCCGATAATCAGGCTGGTATTCGCAAGTGAAAAGAAAGGGACCTACCACAGAGCTGGCAAACAACGTGATCGAGACGGAGAGTTTGAATTGCACAACAAATTTGATTAGAGGCTGAAAAATGAAAACTCAATCAACCTACCCATTCCAAAAAACGAGACCCAAAGAAATCAAATCAGATGTGCGATTCCCCGAATGCCTCAGCGCCTCTGAAGATGGCCAATAGACCTCCACAATTGCCGATCTTACCAGGAGTTTCCCGATACATCGGCAAAATGGCAGGAGGGAAGCAAAAAAATGTACTCTGGACGAGTCCGGAATCAAACTGGTGACTTTGCGATATTGGTATATATTCACCTTCATCTTACCACTACCTTTTGTATAGACTTTTTGACACAAGGTCATATAATTCAAGCAATAAGCATTACTGACATGATGTGCCTCCAGGCCATGGAAATTGACCCATATTTCAAGTTTGAGTCCAGTTTGAAATTGCAGAAAGGTTGAAGTACTTTCTCTTTTGCAGACACACACACACACACACACTCTCTCTCTCTCTCTCTCTCTCTCTCTCTCTCTCTCTCTCTCTCTCTCTCTCTCTCTCTCTCTCTCTCTCTCTCTCAAACCTTCAGTCTTCCTCCAAATGCCCACCCCCCCGCAATCGCTTCAACGCTCTTGCAAAGCGATTTTCGGAGTCGGCCGCGATTTGCACTCGCCTCATAAACCTTTCACGAACCTCCCGACCTCCGCGCTCCCACTCGTTGTAGAGCCGGTCCTCCAGCTCCTCCACAGTTAGGGAGCTGCTTGATTGCTCTGCTGCCGCCAAATGGTGCGCCCTGCGCTCCTGGCAGAACAATTGGAACGCGGTCATTAACGCTATGGATGATGCTGGAGCAGGCCTTTTCATTGGAACTTCAAAGTCACTATTTTCCTTATTTGAAGAGAGGGGCAATAAGAGTCAGTCAGTAAAATTGCTGTATCCGGATCGTCGACGCTGTCGACGTTGTTTCCGCTGCTTTTGCCACTGGGAGTATCGTCATCGCCGCTCTGGCCCTGTTTGCAGTGCGTCTTTTCGTCGTGGTCGAGAAGTTCTGCTGCCGCCCATCCACGTAGCTCTTAACACAACCCCTGGCAAGTGCTGGACTACCGACGGGATAACGATCGTCCACGTGGACATGTTCGTCTCGGTGAACCGACAACCACAGCTCAACGTCGAGAATGGACTTCCAACGCTGACCGTCACGTTCAACGGTGCGACAAGCGTCGGAGCCTCAGCGACGAAGTGGAATATCGCAACAATTGGAATCGCTGGAAACACGTGGACTTTCCAAATTTTGGAGTACCAACCTATGATCGGTATGGCGAGTCCGCGTCTTTTCATACACTCCGCTAATTAGTATTTCGTCAGGTGGCAACTTTCCTGTTGTCGGTGTGGCTTGCGACAATGGTAAGCCACAAGGGCTGTCGCCTTCAGCTGCTGCTGCTGGATTTTCTGTTGCAGTTTTGTAAATTGAAAAGCTTATGCTGGAGCTGTGGTGTGGTAAAGCTCTTCCAGAGCTTTTCCTTTCTCTCTCTCTTGTCTCGATTCTGTATTTTCTCTCCCCAGATTTTCCTCGGCAAGTGTTGCCCCTTTCGGCGGCTTCAGCGGGCTCTTCCGCTCCACTTATGTAAATTGGGATGATTGGTACAACGTCTTGCTGAACAGGGCAGCTGCGGCTGTGGTGCTAGATATTGTTTCGAACAGCACTTTGATCCTTTACATTTTTTCTGTTTCTCACAGTCATTTTCTCCTTATTTTGGGTCACTTCGTTCGTGCCAGCCAATCACTTCACGAATTTATGGAAGGACAAAGCCTTGTCAGTGTTCATGTCTTCTCTGTCTCAGCGTAGCGATTCATGCAGCTTAAGCTGCGATCTCCGAGGAGGGAGGCCCAGGGTGCTTTTCAAGCTTTGTTCCGCTGAGTCTGAGCATCTTGGTCAAAAACCAAACAAAAAAATGAAAAAAGCCAATCTTTTTTTCGCTCAGTTGGAGCGACGAGAGAGCGAAGAGAGAGGCTGGGAGATGTGTGAGCACCAGGCGACTGGGAAAAAAACCAGGAAAAAAAACCCCTGTGGGGAAAAAAGGCCGCCCAGGAAAAACCAGCGCCATAAGACTAGGAGTAAGGGTATATGTGCGCCGGACGATCCAGCCGCAATGACTCGTGAGGATAAGGGGAGAAGTCGGTGAAGGCTGCCCAAGGGAAAAGAAACCTGACTGTGAAGAGGAGAAGGAGGGGGAGAGCCCAGGGTGCGGGAGGCTGTGGGTTGGGAAAGCACCCTGGGCCTCCCTCCTCGGAGATCGCAGCTTAAGCTGCATGAATCGCTACGCTGAGACAATCTCCTGTGTCGGTCGGCCCAGGGTGCTTCTTCGTCCGAGCAGACCGCCCGGCAGCCGGGACCGCCACCGCCCGCCCCGTGGGCGAGCGCAGCGAGATGACCCTCGAACGGAACTCGAGCTGCCACCGCTCTCGGTGCCTGAGGGGGTGGACGGGCCGAGGCAATCGCAGGACAAGAAGGCCGCCGGAATTGGGTCCCCGAGACACCAAAGATCTTGCTTGTGCCGGTCATAATGTTGCCGGAGCATTGCTTCAGAACGCCACCGGCCGTCGCAAACTGAGTCCTCGCCCAAACCAAGCGCCAGCATCATGGAGGCTGCTGCGTCGATGATGTCGTGAGGAGTAAAGCCGCGTGAGGACACGTGCGGGATGCCTGCTGCTGTCATCACGTCCTGAACCGCATGGCAAAGACTCCCCCTGCCGGAATCGATGAAGTCCACGTGAGGGCCAGAGGCACGTAGGAGGAAACCAAATTGCGGCTTCCCACACGCGTCGTCTCCGGGACGGCGCCACGGGGCTTGACGCGCCCTGATCTCAAGGGCGACGGCGCCCAGTCCTGCGAATGGTGGCCGAGACGCGAGTCAGAAGAACCCATGGTGGGTGAATCCAGGCGTTCTCGTCCACCCAGGTCACTGCAAAAGCGTTGTGAGCGACTGCCAGGGGATCCAGGCGATTCCGGGAGCAGTATCGGGTGCACCAGGAGTTGAGTCCGGACACAAAGAGGTCGATTGAATGCAGGCCCCACAGCTAGTCGAACTGGCGAAACAGCGAGGAGGACAGAGTCCATCCCGCTGGGTCGGGGGCTGGTTGGCGAGAGTCTGCATCGGCGCCAGTATGTTCAGGTCCCCTGGAATGTGTTCTGCCTCGCAGGAAGAGCCCGCTGACAGGTGATCTCGAAGGAGGATCTCCACGGTCCGCAAGAGGCGATCTGCTCAAGCGCCCCCGCCTCAGTTTATGTAGAACACTGTGGGGGTGTTGTCCGACCGGTGAAGGAAGTGACCCTGGGGGGGCAGGAGACTGCGACGGCGGAGCAGCTGTGCGAGACGTACATGCGCTAGGGCTTCGAGGACGTTGTTCGAAATCAGACGCCCAAGACGTTGGCCCGAAATTGCCAAAGCAATCGTGGCAGCCGGAATTTCGGGAAAAAATCGATGCAGCAGCGCCAGAGACCACGGTTCTCCCAGCCTGTTATGAATCACGCTCTGGAAACCTCTGGAACCTTCTAGAACATTCCTTCATGGAACCTTGTGGAACCTTCTGGAACCTTCTTTGCTTTCCTGACTTGTCTTGTTGTCATTGGTATCGTTGGCATCATTGCATTACTAATTGCTCTTTCTGGAACTTTCTTTGAGTCTTGACAAGGAACACTCTCAAAAGGTATAAAAGGGGGATGGGGAACCTGTCCCATCCCTCAAGTGAATTATTGTTTCCAATACAATCATCACTCCTCTCAGTTCCTTGTCTGCCATGCCTTGGCTTGTCCTGCCCTGTTCCTGACATTGTTGACTTCCATGCTATGGCTCCCACTGCTAATAGCCAACAACTTAACTTGTACCCATCAAAGCGAATTGCAATGAAGCCCCTCGCATCATTTATTTGCTATGCTTTGACAAAGCAATCACTGTCCAGTGTAGTTAGAAAAACAAGAGAAAAAAACCTGCTCAGTGTCACCTGCCTCTGTTTGGCAGCACCACCAACCAGCCCCCCCTCGACCCTCCAGACTGATTGTGGGAGTCTTCAAGGCCCACACCATCACAATTTCCACTGTGGGGAGACGGTCAACCCAAATGTTGAGGCCGCACCCCGATTCGAACCGGGGTTCCCAGAATCAAAATCTGATGTGATAACCCCTACACTATGCAGCCATGCCCCGAGCAGCAAACCGTAAGGACCATGTTTGTGGACAAAACTTCGCATCAGATCCTCTTTCCAAAAAAAAAAAAAAAAAAAAAAAAAAAAAGGAAAAGAAGAAAGCTTCCTTTTCTTCTTCATTTTGTTTCCTTCCAACATGCCCTTATGTTATTAGCACACAGAACTGAGTTCTGTTTGTTGCTGCCTGTTGTCTGCCATCACCTTGCTCCCCAGGCCTAGCGCTGTATGGAGCATCTAGCAGGCCACAAACCTCAGCGGTTTGGAAGCTCTAAAAATGTAGAAGAAAAAACGCTCAATTGAAAAGCAAATGATTTTCTTTCGTGGGCAACTGACATGTAAGCGAACGACACCTGGCCCAACCCAAAAAAACAAGAAAAAGGGGAAGCTAAGTTCGCCCCTACGACGATTTGAACGCCGATCTTCACCGAGATTTGTTTGTTTGAGGTGGTGATGTCCTAGCCATTGGACGACAGGGGCTTGGAAGCAGTTGTACTTCCATTTAAATAGTTAAAGACTTTGCTCAGGAAAAAAAAGTCGGAAAACTTTGCCGAAAGGCTCTCGTTCTCGATCGAAAAAGAAAGAAAAAGTATTGGATATTTTATCCGAGATGCACGATACAACAACCAAAACCAATCAAACCTGTCAACCACACCTCTACCCACACCCAAAGACCCATCAACCCTAACCCGCGCGCGCTCAGTCATCAAACTCCTCCTCGTCCACCCCGTCCTCCTCCACAGCATCATCATCCTCAAACGCCTCATCCTCCACGAAGTCGTCGTCGTCCATGGCCTCGCTCTCGTCAAACGCCGCGTCGTCATCAAACAGCGCCGCGTCGTCGTCGACAAACCCTTCAACCTCCGCGTACTCGTCGTCGTCAAAGGCGGCGTCGTCGTCAAAGAGCGCGGCGGCGGCGGCAGAGTCGGCGGAGGAGGCGTCGGCGGCGGGGGCGGCGTCGGAGGACGAGGAGGAGTCCTGGGACGGGGGTTTTTCTCGTGATTTGTTTGGGGGGGGAAGGAGAAGTGTCAGACGGTCCATAGTGGAGGGTGGAGGGGAGGAGTAAAGAGCGAGCGGAGAGTTCCCATTTTACCGTCGTCGCCACGGTGCTTGCGGTGGTGGTGGTGTCGTCCTCCGTGGCCGTGGTGCCCGTGATGGCCGTGGTCGCTGCGGTGGTGGTGAGGGAGACGTGATTAAAACCAGGGTGCTTTTTTCGATACGTCAACAACGTCGACAGCCGCAAGAAACCCACGGTCGCGGCGCTCGAGGTCGACGGTCCCGTCGAGGGGTGCGGCGGCGGGGTTCTGGGCGTTGAGCGAGACGTCGGAGCCGCGGAGGGGGGCGGCGGCGACGCAGGAGGCCGCGAGGAAGGCGACAAGGAGCAGGGAGAGGGTCTTCATGTTTGGTTGTTGCTGTTGTTGTGCTGTGTGTGTGCGAGTGTGTGTGTGTGTGTGTGTGTGTGCGGGCGTGTGTTTGTGTGTTGACGAAGGGGGATGGGATGGGATGGGGCCGAGCCGCTTATAAACTGTTTCTTGTTCGATCGCCGACCCCTCGCTCGGTGGCCTTTTCCCCACTGCACCATCATCCCACAAGGCGCGAAGTGCAAGGGAGCCGCACGACACTGATTGTGAAGACACAAACACCAAGTTTGGCGCCAAAGGAAAGGAAAAATCTGTCTCGCGTGTCTGTCTGTCCTTCTGTCTCGTTCTCCTCTCGCTCCACCCGAACACGAAGGACAGCGCATGATGTAATTGACAGCAGCCCTTACTCCACCGGCTGCCGCCGCGGCCACGATCAGTATTACCAACCGCCCTTTCTCCTCCATCAGACTACTTTGCTGTATTTTGACTTCGCCCACCCGAGACACAATGCTCCGTTGGCCACGGCGACCATTGTTCCTGCGGCGGCGGCGGCGGCGGCGACGGCAGCCACGGCCGAAATCGTCCTTCGAGGCGGCAGCGGCAGCTCTTCTTCGCACCACCAGCACCACCACCAGCCGCCACCACCAGCAGCAGCAGCAATACCAGCAGCATTGGCAACGGTGGCGGCGATACCGGCATCACCGCCGGCGTCATCCGCATCAGGGCCCAAGCGCCCGCCGCCCCCAACGATGATCAGGTCAAACACCCGTCGCTGTCGTTGTCGGTGTCGTCTTCGTCGAACTCGTCGTCGTCGGCCCTCGAGCCGATATCCATCGACGACGCCGTCGACCGCGACCTCGCGGAGCCGCTCGCTGGGAAAGAAGGTGCGGCCACCCCCTGTTTGCTGTTTCTTTTTTTTTTTTTTTTTTTTTCCTTGTCCGTCCCGATGATTCATCCTCAGCTGCAACTAATCCCCCTCGTACCCGTACGTTGTCCAGCCTTCGAATCGTACCCGGACGGCCTCGTGGCAGAGGGGCTGGCGCCGGCGTCGACTCTGCAGTGGATAGACTCGGTGCAGGCCAGTGTCGAATCCGTGATCGCTCTGCCCGGTGCGCGACTCGTCGACCAGTTGAAGTAACCCCCCTCGCATCAGATTTCATTGTACTGACGCTCCCCTCGTGCTGAAGTCGCGGTCGTAGCCGGAGCCGTTTTTTGCAAACAAGAAAGTTGTGCAGTGGTGTGAGATTGTTTTTTGCCGCACTTGTAAAGTTTTCAAAAAACCCCCATTGAAAAGTTTTCAAAAAACCCCCATTGAATGGTGTTCGTTTGGTTGTTTTGTGTGCAGGTCCGCATTCAAGGACAAGCGGTTCATCCTTCTCCTCGTTGGCAGCTCGATCGCCATATTTCACCTCTTTGTCCCGCCTTTCTTCCTTCCCCTCTACGCCAACAGCGTGGGTCTCAGCACGTCCATGTCGTTGCTCGTCCTCGCCGGTACGAGATCCTCCTTTTCCTTTTGAACAGACTCCGTCATTCTTGCAAAATCGACCCCTGACCGTCGCACGGCTTCTAAAAACAGGGTTTACGCAGCGGGCTGGTTCGGGTTTGGGGTGTTTGCAGACCTGCTTCTCGGCAGCCTCAACAGCTTCGTCGTGTGCCTCTTTCTCGTCGGCATTTCGACGCTCGTCATTTGGCGCTGGCCACGTCGGTCGCGCCGCTGTACGAAAACCGTCCTTTTCTCTTGTTCCTTGTGACGACAACGTCGCCGTGCTGAGAATGTTCTCGTTCAAAATTTTAACGACCGATAACCACCATGCAGGGTCGCTTTCGCAATCGTGAACGGGCTGTGGCGCAGGTAGGGCTGGAGAGGAGTCTGTTTTGTGATGAAATCCCACCCAGGACTGGAGGGACTTGGTGTGTGTGGAGAGGAAGAGAGAGAGAGAGAGAGAGCAGTGATGATGGAAAAGGGAGGGGAGTGAGAGGATGGAGAGAGGAGAGAGGAGTGAGTGGGCAGAGAGGGAAGAGAGTCCAAATGGAGAAAGAGAGATTGGCTTGTTTTGCACTGGATTCTGTCAAAGCAGCAAGGAGGGGGTTTTTTTCCTTGTTTGATCTCTGTGAGAGGTTGCGGCTTTTATACTCCTGCAGGTTGGAGCCATCAGAAAACAGAGGGAGGAGTGGGCTGCATCCCCGCGGGCATCACTACCTTCTACGAGACGCGTGGCAACCTATACAACCACGAATTCCCGCGAGGGTTCGGTATGATAGCGGGGAACTACACGCGGCGGGGGCAAGGGGGAACTCAGGTGGAGCGGGCGGTGGGGTGGATCTGCATCGGGCGGGAGAACCCGGGGAACGCGGATGGGGCGGGGATACCGCGGGACTGCGAGGGGGACGTGAGGGCGCAGGTGCAGTTTCCGGTGTGCGCGGATGGGAGGGGGTTTGCGGGGGATCAGGTGAGTGTTTTGTTCTTCTTTTTGGTGGACAACCCCACCCCCCCGGGTTTTTGGTTAACCGACCAGCCCCTCAATCCTTCGGAAAGTCGCACGTTTCCTATGCCCGTCGACCCACCCGACGCGGCTAGGTGCGGGGACTCCGATTTCATCCAACGACAACCAAACTCACGTTTTTTTTTTTTTTTTTGGTTTGCAACATAGTGAAAATCTTCATCGAGGTTCTTTTCCACGCCGGCGACCTGAACCGCTACCCGTTCCACGCCAACCGCGACGAGCCTCGCTTCGTCCTCTTTCAACGGGCGACACGATGGGGCTCAGTTTCCACGTTGTGAAGGAGAAGCATCTGGCGGAGTTAAAGTGCTGTTGCGTGGAGGCGTGAAGGGCTGCTGTGGCTCACTCAGATGATGATCCTGTGGGGCAGAAGATGGCCTGGACCCAGTTTTGTCAGTGGAACAAGATTGTGAAGATTCCCATCAAGCGGTACAGGAAGCGTGTATATTCAGCTGTTCAGGACTCTGCTGTGTGCGACTTTGCTGGGGAGGCCAAGCGCATCAAGTGTCAGAAGACGCGTTCAGATAGGAGCCAGTGTGCGCTTGACCCCCAGAAGATGGGCCACTACGAAGACCATTTCCGCACAACCATAGGTCATGAGCCAACTGGAACTGATGTCTTCTGGCTGCTCGGGGCTTCAACGGCTGGGACTTCTGGCCTGTGAGCTCTTACAGGGTTTACATGTGTTTCCTGAGACCAATGATGGAGTATGGGTTTGCGCTGCGCCCACTGACCCACACAGCTGAAGGATGTGCTTCGATCTGGTGTGGCATTTAACAGGAAGTGGCTCAGACACTTGTTGATGTGGATGGCTGGGATGGTAGCGTTCCACCAACCCTGTGTGTCGGCAGACTGTGCAGAGAAATGCACTAGGAGGCATGTTTTGGAGTGCTCAGGGGTTAAGGACTGGCTGGAGAGGCTGCACCCCAAGTTGATTCCCACTGCAGAGCAACGGGACTTGAACATTTCAGCCGTGGATTTGGGCTTACAGTTGCTGGTTTTTTGGGACCCCTACAGTGCCAAAGCTGAGGACAAGATCTCTAAGGAGACTTGCATTGCCTCAAAGAAGAAGGGAATGCAGCTGCCCAGGATGATTGTGCAGATGCGCATTTAGTGTGGAGGACTTGTGAATAACTGTAACCCTGACAAAACTAATTGTCCTTGTCTACTTTGAAAGCCTCCCCTGAATGCTAAGAGTGCTAACACGTCGAAAAAAGAGCGTGGCAAACAGAAAATGCAATGGGTATATGTATTTTCTAATTTACTCCATATTGGAATTTACGCTTAGTTGCGAGAGCTAGTGCAAGAGAAAAAAAAAGAAACTTTTTTTCTACCACTGGTTGGATGTTGGGGATTAGAAGGTAAAATGACTCATTTGACGACTGCAAACATCCAATGCAACTGAATTTTGGAGGCTTTGTTTGGATTTTGGAATTGAATTATGAGTTTTGCCAACGTCACACCAGACTCAGATAGAGAATGGGAACCTCAAAGAATGCAAAGAAGTCCAGCTCCATTACGCCAATCAAACTCAAATTGTTGTAAAGCACACAAAAAGGGCTCCATTCAGTATCATCTTTGTGCCGCGATTTTTGTTTCCCATGTACAAGCAACATGG